TCTTGCGTGGAGCCCATGCAGTTCTGATTCGTAAGCATCCCGTGGCCCCCATCAGGAACTAACGAGCCAAGTGCATGCTCCTGTTCACGTGGAGACTCTCTCGGCTCACGTGGATTTTTAAATCCTGCACGTGTCTCCGCCATATTGTGAACACTCCTCTTCGAATAACCTGGCACAATATGATGTTGCTCCGTGAATGCCTCACTCCCATTATGAGCGGAAGATCTGCCCTTGCTCAACGGTTTCACGAGATTCGATTTCTGATTCCTCTGTTTCACAATCAACCAATCTCCATGCGGATCAGGCGCGACAGCCCCCCTGACACGCGGAACAGATTCCTCACCTGTTGGAGCAGCAGAATCTGCACCATGCAGTGGATCCCTTGGCGGTTGATCCGTGTTATCCTTCTCACCCACGCTAGTTGCCGTTACCTCAGACCTAATAACATGCGGGAAATTCCGTAGAACATGCCCATAACAGCCGCACGAGGAGCACAACAAATGTAGACCCTCATATTCCACATTATACCACACACCATTGAGGAAGAATCTTCCTACGACTGGCTCCTCTAAATTGATCTCGACACAGACCCGTGCAAACCTACCTCGAATCATGTTCAGGGTATTAAGGTCAACCTTGACTGGTTTCCCAATGGCTGAGGCAATTGTTAGGAGAACACTCTCATCATAGAACATAACTCCGAGACCTGGAAACCGGATCCAGACAAGAGTACTGTCGACCTTTGTTGCTGATGCAACGAACTCCGGGGACCATGGTCTCACAATTAGATAGTGGTCAAAGAGCATCCACGGCCCCCATGCATGACCCGATCCCTATTTGCTTCCAGGTCAAACTTCACCATGAAATACCCATTTGACACGTCCAGCAACTCGAAACCTCCTTGAACCTTCCACAAAGTAGGCAGCCGGTCCCGCAAGGTTAAGAACCCCACTAGTAGCTTGATCACTAGACATTGTTCCCATGGTTCACACAACTTTTTAAGGGTGGGTGTCTTAATGCTAAATTTGGGTAGCAACCGATCTCCACCCTCAAATTCTAGCGTCATCGCCCCCTCCTGAATAAGATCTCGAACAATCGGCCGCATAGCCGGAGCACCCAGTACCTTCTCCTTAAAGGTCATTGTCTGACCCGTCTTAAGACTCCCAACGCCCCCATCCGACGGCTCCGATGGTGGTTGGCTCCCCATTGGCATTCCCCAAATCCTTTCCATTAACAATTTTTTTCTCGTTGAGAATTTAACAAAGCTGATTAGATTAATATCTAATCAACGCAACACTTTTTATTTATTTTTACAGTTTAATGATATTTGTTAACACTTTTTATTTATTCATTTTTTTATATGAATGAAATGAAATAATATATTTTTATCCTTCTTAATTATTATGTAACATTTTTCTTTATTTATTTCTCTTATTGAATTCTGTATTTAAATAATTTTAACTATAAGCTTTTATCTTTTTTAAATAGTTTAATATCATATTTATAATAAGATTTGAGCAAATAATATATCTAATGAGTTTATTTTAATAAAGGATATTTTTGTAAAAAGTATTTATATACCCAAGAATATATTATTGTAACCAAACATGAAAATCTTTAATTCCTTGGAATCCTATGTGAATATTTCCAAGAACCTCTATGGATAATCAAACATATTTTCGTTATTCTTATATATCTTGATTCCTAAGATTTGTAATTTCCAGGAATCATGATTCCTAGGTATGAAAAAAATTCTCTCCTACCAAATGCTTCGTTAGCAAAGTAACTATCATAAATGGTATTCATTTCCCCACTCATGACCATCACTATTATTATATCACTAGCGAAATCAAGACACTTCGTATCTCTATATGTACAAATAAAAAAAATTTGTCATTTACATGTTGTGATATAGTGTTTTGAAAAAAAATCATCTATGATCAGAGACGGATCCAGGTATACTGTTGTGGGGGTACTTGCCCCCACTATCATTTTCCAATTTTATATATATATATATATATATATA